CACTTCCCAGGCAAAGACCGTTAGCTCTGCCATGTCTCATAAGCAGGGTGCACCTGGATGCTGGAAATGGGCACAGGGGAGGTCTCCCCTGACACCCACACTATTAGTGAGAGCTTCAGGCTCAGCTTCATTCACCTTTCCAGCCCCATCATTGCAGACCCAGGAGGTGAGCTCTGAGGGGCACATGGCACTGCATGTGGGGCACGGAGGGACGGCCTCTCCTTTCCACCCCCACTGCCTGCTCAGAGATTGGGCCATCAGCCTGCTCTGATTCAACTGACTTCTTCTAAACCTTGCATCCAGGGGCTGCCAGCGGCCAAATCCCCCTGATTGTCTGAGATGTTCTCGACATCAGAGAATAAACAGTCTCCCCTGTCCAGCCAGCTGTGCTGAGCAGCATTCCTGTCTCCCAGCCTGCTTGGCCGGGTGGGGCTGCAGCCCTGTGTCCACCTCCAGCAGAGGCCTGGGGGGGGCCTGGTGAGTAGCTGGGAGCGGGGGGTGACCATCTGTGTTCAGACTGCACAGCACATTCCTCTGCCTGAGTCCCCATTTCGCCCCCCTGCCAAGCACCTCAGCCACTGTTGGCACAAGCTCTTTATTTGTAGTAATGACTCTTGTGACTTCAGACAAGGTCAAGACAAGGCCACTGTCCTTAGGTTTGGAGCCCCTTCACCCTTGCCCAGAAAGCTGCCTGTGGAATTTGAAGCTCCCACATTATTCTAGGTAGATCTGAAGGCATCACACCTCTAAGGCTTGTTTTACAGAGGTGGACATCGTGAGTCAGTGCAGAAGCAAGGCGAGACCCCAGGCTTTTTTATTTTTTTGCTGTCCACTGCCTTGGAATGTTGTGGCTAGAATGACGTGAGGGGCTCTGGGTGAGAGGGGTGGCCCATGTTTTTGGAGAGGAGCAGAGGTGTTTTCATCCTACGCCTGTTTTGGAGATCAGGCTTGCGGCTGAGCCATTTCCTGAGGAAGCAAGGTCTCTGGAAAAGCACTGTTCACCCGCGCCTCCTAAATCATCCTGTTGGGAGTGGAGCTGGGGCAGCAGGACCTGAGTGGGGCTCTGCCACGTACAGGATCCAGCGCCCAGTTGAGGCTTGGCCAGGGTATAGGAGGTGGCCAGGGCCAGAGGGCAGATTACTTGGGAAGGGGATGCCCCGGCCAGCACACACCATCTGCTTTTCTGCCCTAGGGCTCTGGCCTGGGACTGCGGGGGAGGAGAGAGAATACCTCAGACAGTCTGCAGAGAGAATTCCTCTAAGAATCCCCCTCTGGCCGCAGACAGTGTGGGAACCCAGGGTAGCCTGGGGGTCTCTGTGGACGGCTGTTTAACTTTCAGTCTGTCTTGGCCGCCGCCTTTTATCTTTGTCTAGCTGCATGTATCTGTGGATTTATGTGACTGTTCCACGTTTGTGTAGGCAGCTGCATTTCCAGTTGGAATTGAATTCCTCAGGGGGAAATTGTGTGCTCCTGTGTTTGTGTGCACATTTATACATCCACATCTCTGTGTAAGCTCGTGTGGGGGTATCTTCGAGGGAAAGTTTAGGCCTCTGTGTCTTTGCATAGATGATCTCTGCCTGGTGGGAGTACACATGTGAGCATTTAGGTTAGTTTGGTAAAAACATGCTTTTTTTTTTTTTTTTTTAACATGCTTGTTTTTGTTGATGTATTAAGTTGAGGTATATGTGTCTCTGAGAGCAAGGGCATAGATTTGTCACTGATATGTTGGTGAGTCTCTGAAAGCGTGGATGCTTGTCTGTTTACATTTGTGCAGAAGCATTCATTCACTCAGTCTTCAATTCATTCATAAAGTGATTTGCTCATTTACTAACAGACATCTTCCAAGTGCTTGCATTATGACTGGCCCTATGCTGGCACAGGGGATTTAGAGAGGTGTCTAGCTCAGGTCCTAACATTTGAAAGGCCCCGGGGAAGTATACAAATGAAGGCTTATGTTCATGTCTAAATATTTAAATGTTCTAAGTCAAAACAGCAAGCAGCTAAATGAAAGACTCCTAATAACTGGAGGGCTGGGTTTGATTTGGAATTCCCAACTCCTGAGTTTTGTGCTGAAATTCAGCAACACAGAGCGAGTGGCCCAGCCTCTCCTTCCCCATTCTGGCTTCATCCTGTAGCTCACAGGCATGCGCAATTCTTCACATGTGTCCAGACTCTGTGTGTATCCCCCTTGGCCACCCTTTGCACCTAGGGGTGCCCACACCACTGCCAAAGTCTACCATATGGCTCTGAGCTGGAACTAATGCAGTCTCACAGACCTGGTTTGTAGTCTAGCGGTGGGGCCTGGGTTCCTGGTGGGCCCATGCTCTTGGCCCCAGGGACTTGTCACTGTGTGGGATCGTGGGGGTCAGAACAGAGCCAGAATATGGCCATCTAAAAGGTAGACCTGGAGTCAGGACCCTTCCTGCTTGTTTTCTCATAGAACGGTGGGTGTCTCTGCATGTCTGCCTGTGTGCTTGGCTGTGCATGGCCGTGGATGTGTTTTTCTTTTCATCTTTGTTGTGTCTTCTAGAGGGCAGAACCCACAGCTTTTCTCCCACTCTTCCCTCACCTGACTTAGTGAGGGCTTAGGACTGTGAGACAGGCTGGGGTGGTGGGAGGAACACTGAGTCCGAGTCTCTGCCCTGTGCTCAGCTCGGACCTGCTCTGTGATCTGGCCTCAGTTTCCTCATCTGTTGGAGTGGCGAGGTTGGATTACCACGTCTTTAATTTACAAGCCTTACTTGGTTCATGGAAGGAGTGGGATTGATTTCCTGAGTTAATTACTTTCTAGAAGTTCAAATTGGGAATGCTTCGTTGTAGACTGTCTGGGTTCGTATACAACCAGGTTTGAATCCCAGCTTTGCCATATGTCCTGTGCCTCATGTATTGTTACTCTCCCTCAGGATGGTGGTGATGATTGAATAAGATAAACATGCGTAAAGGCTGGAGCATCATACCAGGCTCACAGTACATGTTCAATAAGCATTAGCTTCTGTCCTCATGTAGGGTCTTTCCAGCTTTCTTACCGTATAAAGTCTGGGTTAGTAGACATGTCTAATTGAGATAATTGGAACCTCCTGTTTGGGGAGCTCAGACGCTGTGTTACTTGAGGGGGCACAGTTGGATGAGACAGTCTGGCCCTTAAATGCTTTCTGAGAGGCTGCCAACTCATATGTGTGTGAGCCTCTCCCTCCACTCCATTCTCTGACTTAGATCTTTGACATTTTCTTAGTTTTACGAAAAGCACTATGGAACACAGATCCAACGCTCTTTTCTGACCCGATTCTGCCCCGAGTCCATCCCTGGTGCTGCAGGACGCTGAGCTAAGTAGGGTCAGGCCACAGGGAGGAGCTGGGTTAGGGAAGGCCTCGGGCCGCCCGACATGTCTGGGCCTGTCTGACACCAGCCCCAGTAGTGGGCAGCCCCAGCTAGGCAGCGGGCACCTGTCTTCCATGACTGATGCTCCTTGATTGAGGGCATCACTCTGCTCCTGCGCATGTGGCCTTAGGATCCTGGAGCACTGCGGAGACTGAGGAGACCTCCATAACTCCTGTTCCCCCAAGTCTTCCAGAATGGCTAAGTTCCAGCGGGAATGACACGGAGGGGGTTGGGAGAGGCAGGTGACAGCGTCTCTCAGCCAGGGCTGGTGGGAGTGGCCATCTTGGGAATCCCCTGGAGCCTGTGAAAACTGGCAGCTCTTGGACTCTCCGGAAATATCCCTGACCTGGAGGGAATGAGGGAGGGGTCCAGGGCCTAGCCAGGGATTCTGAAATGAGAAATGCGCTGAGTATGAGCTCAGGGTAGCTGAGGTGCTGAGGGAGGTCCTCAAGGAGAGGGTCTGCCCTTGAGATCATCCTGGGCACCCCTCTGACCCACCCTTCCACACACACACATGAGTGATGGAGAACTGGTTTGATGATCTCTCAGCTCCAGAGGTGACTGGACAGGTAGGAGCAACTTAAACTGCAAAAGTCCCTCTGGGAGTTATTTTGATATCCCCCCCATCATCACTGGGCTGCTCTATTTGGAGCCAGGACTGGAAATTTTCCTCTTAAAAAAAAAAATGAAAACAAGGGCACAAGTGGGTTGAGCCCAAAATAATGTGTTTAAGGAAATTTCTGCTTCATGCTGGCTAGGACAGGGAATGTCTGGTCAAAGAGCCGCTGACGGCCAGGGTCTCTGTAAGTAAACAGACCGCCTCCGGTGGCCATCCTGAGCTCATTTCCCTCACCGGTGTGCGAGGGGGGTGAGGTCACCGAGGAGGGCCTCCTGGGCATGCAGCTTGTCAGTGAGTAGGTTGAAGGCCCAGTGAGCGCCAGCGGTCTCAGTACGGCTGTCCAGTTATCGCAAACAGCTGCTTCTCATGCAGGCAGTTCTGACACCCTCCTACACATGGTCGTCTGTGATGAGACTCCACCCACATCCATGATCTCACAGCCGGGGGTGTTCCTGGGAAACTTGGGATTCATTGTGCAGTCCCCTGCTTCCATGCAAGACCCCTTCCTCAACCAGAGAGCGGGGTCTCCTGTGATTTATGGAGAGAGGCACCTAGGTTGGGTTCGGTTGCAAGGAGTGGCCTCTGGAAGTACAGGCCCGTGTCCTGCCCCTGTGGACAGCGGGCTTTGGCGGCACGCACCACTGCCTGTCTCCTGGGGCCAGACAGCCAGGCCCACTGGGGGAGTTTCCATGAGCAGAGGGCCCAGTTCAGGGGAGGTGGGGTGGGGAAGAAGCCACAAAACTCTCTCTGTGTCTCCTGAACAGGCTCTTGCTAGGCACAGCAGTCGCCAGGTAAGGCTGTCAGGGCGTCTGGGAGCCCCGCAGCAGTTGTTGAGGAGCAGCTGCCAGAGGCTGGGTCATGCTCTGCGGCCTTCTCCCTAGCCACCCTGTGCCATCCTCTCCCTCCCGGCTGGGTGGTGGGGAGCCATGAGCCTCCAAGTAGACAGGCGGCCAGAAGCTTCTGGGCGGTGAGCCTCAGCTTTTCATTTCTTTGTGTCCCCCAGAATCCTGACCTGACAGGGGGCTCATCAGTCACACAGCCCTACCCCACAGAGCAACCAGCCCGCTCAAAGCCTACCTGACCCACCTCAGGCTGATCGAGAAACTCTGACTGGCCAGCTCACAGAAGACTCACTGCCTGCTTGATGCCCAGCCTGACTGACCAATAAATCTACATTTTCAACAAATAGTAACTGAGCACCTTTCTTGTACCCACTGTTATGCTGGGTGCAGGGGATACAGTAGTGAACAAGACAGACAAGATTCCTACTCTTAGGGAGCTGACAGTAAATAAAACAATGACAGAGTGATATGTGTGTGTGTGTGTGTGTATTTTTGTTTGTTTTTAATTTTTTTTTTTAATTTTTGAAATTTTAAAAAGAAATTTTTGGCCACACCATGCAGCATGTGGGATCTTAGTTCCCCAACCAGGGATTGAACCTGTGCCCCCTACATTGAAAGTGCAGAGTCTTAACCAGTGGACCACTAGGGAAGTCCCAAGGGTGTGATATATGTATGTATTATGAAGAAAATAAATAGGATTCTATAGGAAAGAGTAGCCATCAGGCCCTACCCTGGATATAATGGTCAGGGAAGACCTCCCAGATGCATAATCTGAGATTTGGGGAATGAGAATGAGAAAGAAAAAAAAAAGGAAACATGCAGCGAGCCCGTGGTAGAACTTTCCAGATAGAGTGAAAAGCAATGCTGAGGCCTTGAGACAGGGAAGAGCTTGGTGTCACCCTGGAATAATAAGACTGATTTGACGGAACATGGTGAGTGAGCAGAGGGCGGCATGAAGCTAAGGTTGCAGAGGAGGCCAGAGCAGACCAGACAGGCCTTGTAAGCCACAGTAAGGAGTTAGGTGTGAGGGGAAGGCCTGAGGACTTTAAGCGGAAGTGTGACACATACTCAAGAAGAAATACATAGGGACTTCCCTGGTGGTTCAGTGGTTAAGACTCCGTGCTTCCAATGTAGGGGCATGGGTTTGATCCTTGGTTGGGGAATTAAGATCCCATGTGCCACATGGCCAATTAATAGATAAATAGCACCTAATGCTGGTTCTGAGGTAGAAAAGAAAAAACAGATAACCTGGATAACACTCTATCCACTAAAGAAATTAAATTTGTAGTTTAAAATATTCCCACAAAGAAAACTTCAGATCTGGATGCCTTTACTGGTGAGTTCTCCCAAACATAAGGAAAAATTACCAATTTTTATAGAATCCTTCAGAAAATTGAAAAGGAAGGAATAGTTCTTAACTAATTCAGAGACTAGCATTACTCTGATACCAAAACCAGACAGACATGATCATAAATGAAAAAACTTAATAAAAATTCTAGCAAAGTAAACCCAGAAATGTATAAAAGAATAATTCATCATGACCAAGTGGAGTAAACCCAGAAATGCCAGCTTGAAGAAACATTTGAAAATCAATTCATATAATTCACCATATTAGAAAACTGAAAAAGGGAAAAACAAACAACATTACCTCAATAGATGCAGGAAAAGGATTTGACAAAATTCAACACTTATGTTTGATAAAAAAACCTCAGCAAAGTAGGAAAAGAAGGGAAGTCCCTCAATGTGGAATCTATGAAAAACTAAAGGCTAACGTACAATAGTTAATGGTTAAAGACTGAGTACTTTCCTTCATGAGACAAGAGTGTGTTCTTATTCCTTCTGTTTAACATTGTACCAGAGGTCCTAGCCAGGGCAATATAGCAAGAAAAATTAATAAAAGGAGAATAACAACTGAGTCAAATGGTGTGTTTCATTTTTAAGAAAGTACCATAATGTTACTGAAAGTTTTTACACAATTTAACATTCCTATCAGTAGGAGAATTATAGTGTGTTTTATATAGCTGATGCCATATGCTCTCCAACACTTGGTAAGGTCAGTCTTTTAATTTTAGCTTTCCTAAAAGTGGATGTGTAGTGGTATCTCTGTATTTTAATTTACATTTCCCTAATAGCCAAGGAGTATTTTTCATGTTCTTATTTGTTGCTTGTGTATCTTCTCTGGAGAAGTGTCTCTTTAAAACTCTTTCTCATTTAAAAAAAAAATATTTTTTTGTGCCTTCTTACTGAGCTGCATATATTTTTTCCTTTGTTTTTTTTTAATTTATTTTTTTATTGAAGGATAATTGCTTTACAGAATTTTGTTGTTCTCTGTCAAACCTCAACATGAATCAGCCATACTGCTACTGCTAAGTCACTTCAGTCGTGTCCGACTCTGTGCGACCCCATCCCTGGGATTCTCCAGGCAAGGACACTGGAGTGGGTTGCCATTTCCTTCTCCAATGCGTAAAAGTGAAAAGTGAAAGTGAAGTTGCTCAGCCGTGTCCGACTCTTCGAGACCCCATGGACTGCAGCCTACCAGGCTCCTCCGTCCATGGGATTTTCCAGACAAGAGTACTGGAGTGGGGTGCCACTGCCTTCTCTGTGAATCAGCCATGGGTATACATATATCCCCTTGCTTTTGAACCTCCCTATCATGCCCCTCCCCAGCCCACCCCTCTAGGCTGATACAGAGCCCGTTTGAGTTTCCTGAGCTATGCAGCAAATTCCCGTTGGCTATCTACTTTGCATATAGTAATGTAAGTTTCCATGTTACTCTTTCCGTACATCTCATCTTCTCCCCTCTCCTCATGTCCGTAAGTCTATTCTCTGTGTCTGTTTCTCCACTGATGCCCTGTAAATATATTCTTCAGAACCATTTTTCTAGATTTCATATATGTGCACTAGCATACGATATTTATCTTTCTCTTTCTGACTCACTTCACTCTGTATAACAGGTTCTAGGTTCATCCACCTCATCAGAACTGACTCAAATGTGTTTCTTTTTATGGCTGAGTAATATTCCATTGTGTATATGTACCACAACTTCTTTATCCATTTGCATTTTTAAGTATATTCTAATACAAATTCTTTCTTCATGTATTCTGGGTCTATTCTTTCTTTAATGTATTCTAGATCTATTATATATAGGTTTTTAAAAAGTATATTCTAGATATAAGTCCTCTGTAGGATATATTTTACAAATATTTTCTCCCAATGGTGGCCATCTTTTCATTTTCCTAGTGGTTTCTTTTAGATAGCAAGTGTTAATTTTAATCGTCTAGTTTGTTGTTTTTTCTTTTATTGTTAACACTATTTGTAACATATCTGAGAACTCTGCCCAACTCAAGGTTATAGAGTACTGATAATTTCACAGGTGTATCCAATATGTCAAAACTTATCAAATTGGATATTCCAATTGTATCCAATTGTTTGTGTAATTGTATGTTAACTATACCTCAGTAAAGTTGCTCAAAAAGCCTGAAACCTGATCTAATTTTTTAAAATTAATTCTGGCTGCTATGAGGAGAAGGGGCTGGGGTGGGAGAGTGGGTAAGAATAGGAACTGCGGGTGTTTAGGAGACTGCTACAGTCGTACTGGCGAGAGATACTGGTGACAGTGGAGATGAAGAGGAGGGGCTTCCCTGGTGGCACAGACAGTAAAGATTCTGCCTGTGATGCAGGAGACCTGGGTTCAGTCCTTGGGTCGAGAAGATCCCCTAGAGAAGGGAATGGCTACCCACTCCTGTATTCTTGCTCTAGGAAATCCCATGGACAGAGGAGCCTGTTGGGCTACAGGTCATGGGTTGCAAAGAGTCGGACACGACTGTGCAACTATCACTTTTCAGACATATTTGAGAAATATTTTGAGACCTAATAACAAATGCACTAACAGACTTATAAGATATGAGAGAAATGGAGAGATCTAGGACGGCTACCAAATTTCGAACTTGAGTGCTGAGTGGCTGGGGTTGCCTGGTCAGGAAGACTTGGGGGTAGAGATGGGAATGGAACCAGATTTTTGTCTACCTGTGAAGATGGCTAGACTTCAAGAGAAGGGTCTGAGTGGAGTATTAGTCACCCTGAGAGAATAAACGAATAAGAAGCTTGAAAATAGCCTTGGGCATTCCAACACTTGGAGATTCCCTGAAGGAGCCGGTAAAGTTCCTCAGGAAGGAACAACTAGGGAACTACCAATCATATTAATTTCCTATGGCTGCTGTGACAAATTACCACAAACGGGTGGCTTTAAACAACTAAAAGTTTATTATCTCAGTTCTGGGGGGCCAGAAGTTCAAAATCAGATGTCTGGGCTGAAATCAAGGCATCAGCAGGGCCATATTCCTTCTGGAGGGTCCAGGGGACAATGCATTCTGTCACTCTTCCAGATTCTGGCCGCTGTTGGTGTTCCTTGACCTGAGCTTCATCACTCTAGTCTCTGTCTCCATGGTCACGTACTTCCTCCTCTCCTGTCGATGTCAAATCTCTCTCTGCCTCAGTCTTCTAGGGACATGTGTCATAGGATTTAGAGCCCACCCAGAAAATCGAGGATGATCTCCTCATCTTAAGATCTTTAGCTTAATTATATTCATAAAGATCTTTTCTTCCCCCAAACAAAGAGATGAGCCCGTGGACATATCTTTTGGGGGCCATTATTCAACCCACTGTACCAGCTGATTGACAGACTAAAGGAGTAACTAATTAAGTAATAAAAGTTGGCAGAGCTCCCTATGCCTGGGAAGAGGGACCGAGGATGTCAAGTACAGGGTGCTTAGGACCTAGGCTGCTCTTAGCTTGAGCATGTGTGTGGGAGACTGTCATGGAGAGGGGATGTACTGTGGACAGGAATCTCCTAGCCCTTCCAGACCTGACTCAGCATCTGGCAGGGGTCATCCATGCAAAGTGACCTTTATGTTACAAATCTGTTCATGTCACGCCCCAGTGAGTGGCCCTTCAGTAGCTTCCTGCAGCTTTAGGCCAAAGACAAATGTTCTCGCCCACCTGCAAGGCCGAGGGGCCTGGTCTCAGCCCATCTCTGCAGCCTTGCCTCACACCTTCGTCCTCAGGACACTGGCTGCCTCCCAGGTCCTTGCCCACTGTTGCAGGGTCATGGTTACGGTTTTCTCTGCCCGGAAGGTTCTTCTTCAACTCACTTCATGGAGTCAGCAACAACTAATACTTTGGATCTCAACCCAATGTCTCTTCTTCAGGGAATTCATCCTTGAGTCCCTGGTGCAGGTCA